CCAACGTCCTAGTCAATAAAATAGTTGAGCTTGTCGGGAAGGATAACTTTCATGTTATTCCGCTTATGAAAGGGAATATAAGCGAAACCAAACTTCAAACCAAAACCGAAGATGATTTCCGAGCAGTGTCGAAGTACCTAAACAATGCCAAAAAGAATTACTACACGTACCAGCTGAAAAGTTGCAAGGGCTTACAAGTTGTCCTCAAGGGAATAGAACCCGATGTGACACCCTCTTATAGAGGCTTTAAAAGAAAACGGACAATAGAGCAAGTTAACAGATTAACAACAGAAATACGAACTGCATTCTAGTCTCGGGAATACTGCAGTGCGGTATTCCTTGACGTTGCGCAGGCTTTCGACCGAGTCTGGCTCGATGGCCTTATGCATAAAATCAGAACGTTACTACCGGAAAACACTCACAGGATACTTGAATCGTACCTTTACAACAGAGCCTTCGCCGTGAGGTGCAACACTACAATATCCGACGATTACACTATAGAGGCTGGAGCTCCTCAAGGTAGCGCCCTTGGTCCAACTCTATTTCTCCTTTACACCGCAGATATTCCCACGAACGAGCGGCTAACTACTTCTACATTCGCAGACGATACCGCGATCTTAAGTCGGTCCAAATGCCCAATTCAGGCAACAGCAAAACTAGCTGATCATCTCGTGGTAGTGGAGAGGTGGTTATCAGACTGGCGTATAAAAATAAATGCGCAAAATGTAAACACATAACGTTTACTCTTAACAGACAAACGTGTCCCCCGCTAACTCTGAATAACACGCCACTTACACAAGCTGACGATGTAACGTACCTTGGCGTCCACCTTGACAGAAGACTTACATGGCGGAGACATATCGAAACTAAGAAAATTCATCTAAAACTAAAATCCAATAACCTCCATTGGCTCATAAACGCTCGCTCCCCCCTCTGCCTGGACTTTAGGGTTCTGCTCTACAATTCAACGCTTAAGCCAGTCTGGACTTACGGCTCCCAATTGTGGAAAAACGCGAGCAGCAGTAACATCGACATTATCCAGCGAGCACAATCAAAAATCCTGAGAACTATCACTGGGGCACCTTGGTATGTTCGGAACGACAACATCCACAGAGATCTTGGCATTCTACCCGTAAAAGATGAAATTTCAAAACAAAAGGCGTCCTACCACACCAAGCTAACTTCTCATCCAAACCAGCTCGCCAGGGGCCTAGCCAGGGTTTCCAACCGGACCCGATTGCAACGAAATGACCTTCCAGCTCAGCAATAGTTATTAGAGCCCTTACATCCTGCGGCAGTCAACTTGACTGTCAGATAAAGCTTTTAATTTAAAATTTTATATACTTATTGTTAGTCTCAATTCAGAGAAGATTCAATAAATAAAATGCATATGTAAAAAAAAAAAAAAAAAAAAATTAAAGAAAAAATGACAAATATGTACCAAAAAGAAAAACCTCAACCTAGTTCACAAACGAACTTGATAACTAGCGTGAATCACTAGAAGCTTTTTATATCGACGAAGGAAAGCAATATTCACTTTTATAAAGAATTGCGAGACCGGAAGAACCAAAACTATTTTGGAAGCTAGCTCATTCAACAATATGAATGACGCCTAGAAACTTACACTGCAGTAGCCAACAAACAAATAGCCACAGTGTAATGTATACAAACAACCGAGGTAGTTATTAAAGAGGCAATAGCAGAGGAAACTATCGAGGTAACTTCACACGTGGAAGAAATAAAATTTACTAGGGAAATTATCGCGACAGAGGCCAATGTTACCAATATAATAATTATAGAGGACACTATGGCCAAGGCCAAGATTAAAACCAGAACTATTACCAGAATAATAACAGAGGAAACCAAAAGAGCAGCTCTCAAAATAATTCCGTTAATAGAGGAAACTCAAATGCTCAAGAGCTTTTGGAACAGATTATGATTGGTTAAATTTCGATCAAGAGATCAACATTCCAATTAAACATTCAAGAGAAAATAATTTAATAATTCCTGTTATAAGACAAATTTATAAACCACTCACAGAGAAATACTTATTAAAAACCAATATATAGCCGATTGAGTAATTATAGCAAGTACAATATCGATTCCAGTCTATATTAAAACACCACATAGGCAAAAAATAGATCAAAATTCTTTTCATTTCTGGATTTATTGTCTGGATTCCACCAAATTACTTTAAAAAATGACTCCAGAGACATAACTTTATTTTCAACGAGCACTGGCTCATACCGATTAAACGACTACCTTATGGTGTAAATAAACCGCTAATAAAGAATGATGACAATAGCCCTTTCGGGATTAGAACGAAGTCACATTCCTGTTCCTTCTGATGCAGATGAATCAAGAAGATTCGTAGCTTTCTGCAACTACTACAGACGCTTCAAACTAAATTTCTCTCATTACTCAAGCCATTTAACTCACCTTTTCAAGAAAAATGAAACATTTAATATTTTACTTACATTTTTATACCCATACAGAGGGTATTATAAATTCAGTCAAAAGTTTGAAGGTGACATCTCCGACTCTATAAAGTATATATATTCTTGATCAGCATCACTAGAAGAGTCGATCTAGCCATGTTCGTATGTCCGTCCGTCCGTTTCTACACAATCTAGTCTCTCAGTTTTAAAGCTATCTGTATGAAACTTTTCCAAAAGTTGTCTTCCTGTTGAAGGTAGTACATAAGGCGTGCCGGATCGGACGACTATAGTAAATAGCTCCCATAGAAACAATGGGGGCAAAAAAATAAATAATAACTTCACTGTTTTTACATTTTTTTTTAGTTCATCGACAAATAGTAATGATTAAATATTTCAGAACTACGGTTTAAATTTCATCAAAACCGGACTCATATTGGGAACAATAAAAATATTAAAAAAATTTTTTTTTAATTTAAGTTTTTTATTTTGTAATTTATTTTTTAAATTCTCTTTGACGAATTAATAATTTGACAGTTCAGAATTACGCTTTTAGTTCTATTAAAATCGGAAAACGATATCATATATCCATGGGAACTATCGAATAATTAAGCTGCAAATCATCATAGCTTCAAAGTTTTTAAACATATACGCAAGTAAATCATAATTCTAATGTTTTCAAGAATATTTAATTTTAGCAATAGCTGCAAGGTATATAAACTTCGGGTTGCCGAAGCGTGCTTCCTTTCTTGTTTTTTTTAACTTTTTGTTTGAAACTACAGTCTTATTACTGCAAAGCTCCGAAACCTAGTTACAATAAAAGAGAACTTCAACCCCACGACCATGATCCGTCCCTTATGACTTGACTATTGAAAAAACCATAGCTTACAGTTCTGACAATGCAATAATTTTGTACAGCACAGTTTTGTTTGAATTTTAATTGTTGGCCTCTAGTCAGTGTATTGATCAGTAAAGTAGTTTATTAATCCACGAAGCAGTTGACAGTTAGTTAGATAGTTTATCTGTATTCTGGTTTTTCTGTATTCTGAGTACGCGAAAATACTTTAAAAGTTATACTGGCTCAAACTAAATGTGATAAATTAATAAAAATTGTATGGTTAAGTAAAAAAGTTAAAAAATGGTTTTTTATATAATTTTTTACATTTTGAATTTGTTATTTAACTCTCTTTTCATTAATATAAATCTGTCGTTATTATACCCGAAAGTTTTTGTTTCGACCCTATATGATGTCCTAAAGAAGTCCTCTGCCGCAGCTCGGTCGCGTCTCTGCCACCCCTCTGCCGCTGCTCGGCCACTGTTCGGCCGCTGCTCTGGCGTTAATCGCTGCAGTAGGGAGACAGAACGAAAGAAATTTTAGCGAGAGGAGGGGCTGCTGCACGCACTTACTTCTAGTGGCTATGGCTATGCAGCTCGACAGAAGGCGCCACCTAAACATTGATTGTTTTCTTGTAAATGCTCGCACAAAGTCACAGTCGTAAAAGAGTTAGAATCATAAGAAACAAAAAAAAACACATACATAGACTGCAGCAGCGTCACTTGCGGAAAATATATATTTCAATCTTTTATTTCACTTAACACGTGTTAAATAGTAATTTAAATATATATTTTTTTGTAGCGGAACCACGCTTTACATTTTTTTAAACAGTTTTTTTGCAGACAGTTAATTTTTGAAATTCGAATATATTAATTGCTACACTGTTTAATAATTTTTTTTTGTCTAGGGGCCGGTGTTAATTTCGAGTGCCTTGAATTTATCACAGCAGGAGAGATAAAACAGACGATTCCCCTCCCTTTCATAAGTATATTTTAATTACTGATTACTAATTAAATATATTTAGCTATATAATTTCTAATGTAAAATGTATAAAAAAAAATAAATAAAAAAAGAAAATAAAAAAACAAAACAAACAAAAAAACAATTCGAACAGTTTTTGGGACACTTTTACTGAAAAAAAACTGTTCTGAACAGTCTGAATTTCCGAACAAGAAGAAACGTTCTCAGATCAAGACTGCTTTTTCAGGACTGAGTATTCTAGCTTGGAGAACAGGTCTTCTTAGTCCTGAGAACGAATAGGTTCTTGGGTCCAAGCATAGGCGCTCTCGCTTTCAAGAGTAAATCATTTTTGATTTTGAGAACGATATACTCTTGAAGCCGAGAAGACTTATTCTGAAATCGAATATGTTTAGTCTTAAAAAACAGTCTTGATCTAAGAAAATGTCTTCTTGATTTCGGTAAATCCGTTCATGGCGAAATACGGAGCACGGAAATACTGAAATTGAGTCTGTTGATAACGGTTTTTTTCTCGGTGTACATGGTTCAGAATTAATTTTTAATGTTTACAAGTAGATGTCTCAGACTTGGCGTGCATTTAAAAATGGCTTGTGTCAGTGAGACCTTGTGTCGCGTGTTTGAATACGTACTTTTATTACGGTTGTGGGGCAGGGCCGTCACCCTTTTTTGTTTTTTTTTTTAGTAACCTCTTGTACATTATGCAAAGACTTGGATTAAACAATACATGGGTGAAAGGTAAAATAAAAACTTACCAACAAATTTTTGCGGTGTAAGTGTGTGATCCCGATAAAGGAAGAACTGGTTATCCAAAATGAGAACTAGTTGAGGAACCTCACTTGCGCCAGTTTTACGAAATGTTGACTTTTCATGTGCAGCATTGACTGTTGCAAAGGATATACCTTTAAAGAAATGGTTAGTTAGCTGTTTAATACTTGTTTTTAAAACTAAATAAATACCTAAAGGTTCTAGTAAATCTCTTATCTTTTCGAAGGCTCCAACTAGTCGAGAGCATTTAAAGCACCAATCACTGTAAAACATTACAACTTGCGCTTTTTTTTCACTGTTTGGTAATATTGTCTTCTCAAAATAATTGGACGTTACAGATAGTTTATGGTAAAGTACAATGTTCCGATCAATAATAAATCTGTTGCCAAAAGGATCATCATTTTGATCTAATGAAAAACGATTATATCCAGTGTAATCATATTTTTTTTCTAGATAATGAGAATCTTCATCGGTTACTCCATGCTGGTCAAAAACTCGTCGTCGATCAGTGTCACTTAAGAGTTCATAGGCTAATTTTATTTGAACAAACTTTTCGGAATCGCCATCCCGTTGTATTTTATCTGGATGCCTGAAAGTTAAAACAAATTAACAATCTTATTATAAAAAACGGTTAAAAAGATTCAGATGTTTCACGGTTACAAAGCAAAGATAGTTTCAAAATGTATAAGTTTTGTAATAATTTTGAAAGCATGCTGTGAAGCATCTTTTACCCAATATGGTACTGTTGATGGTTATAGTTATTTGAAGTCGATATTCCATGTAAGAAAGTCTTTTCCTAAGCAAACTATTCATATTTTGAGCACAAAAAGCTGGTGAGATGGACATTAAACATGTTGATTCAAGATAGCAACAGACTTCTAGACATTTATATAACGCAGGCATTTCTTGGACTCATCCACAAATAGACAATCCGCAAAAGCTAGTGGGTATCTGCACTGCAGCACTACCACTTGGTATTTTCCGAATCCAGAATCCATTTATATGTATCATCAAAAAATAAAGAAAGTAATGCTACATTTTCATTAAATTGTCAAAAAAGAAATTCTAGTCAAAAAATATTTCCTTGGATTTTTTAAAAGTAATGCTAATGAATAAGTATTTCATTGGCATTGAAAAGAGTATTGCTACTAAAAAAAAGATTTGCATTGGATGTCAAGAAAGAAACGCTACTGAAAAAATATTTCATTAGATTTCTCAAAAGTAATGCTGCTTTCTTGACATTTAATGAAAAGTAATTTTAGTAGCATTACTTGCATTAAAAAAGTAGTTTATTGTTTAGAACTCTGTAGCAAGCCATACTGAAACATGCCAAAATTACAGAATTTTTATTTTTACTAATTTACACTAATAGGAGCTAACTAATAGAGCTCTACTATATACCAGAACACTTATCTGATATCCTCTTCGAAAAAACGCCAGAGCACAAGTGACTGCTTTGAGGGAATTGCACTGATTATGTAGGCGCCGGTTAGTGTGACCAGCTCAATGTTGGCCAGTTTGATAAACTGTTAACGAAATCTCGACTGCTTGCTGGTGTCTAACTCTTGACGACTCCACCGAGACTCTGGATGTTTCTAGGACGTTACTAGGTTCCGCCTCTTCGCCCAGCCACCTAAATTGCAGACTCCTCGCAAGTACTTCCTGAGCTCGATTTAGTTAGTTAGTTACGGTGTGCCGTTAGTTCACGGTGTCTCCGCTTTTCCCAGGTCCAAATTCCTTTGTTTACAGTTTGACCTTGTTGTCCTTGACTCCTCCGGCATTCTTGCCTAGGGTACATAAAAGCGAAGAAAAGCGGACTAAAATGTAAAAGAACTAGAGACTAACATGACCAGATGATCGGGCATGCAGCTGGAATATCAATAACTGAACAACAAGTTCTATAGAATTTAGCTTTTAAAAATTGCTAAAATCGTTGGAAAGGCTGAAATGGGTGGATTGATGCGACCCCCAATGAAAGATAAGGATGAGGATGCGTTCAAAAAGAGAAGAAAAAGATGACCGACGTAATGGAAGTGTTCAAGAACGTTCAACAAAAAACTATGCTGGGAAATTAAAGAAACAGATGGGAGGTGTTTCAAAAAATTAAAAGCTGATTTAAATCCACTGAAAAGTGAATGAAGGAGCTCAACAGGCTAGTTTTAACTATGCCGCCGCAGAAAACATCACAGTCTAAAGTCCGGCAGCTTCTGCGAGAGAAATTTGACTTCGCTCAGGTTGAGGTACAAAACGTTCGATTTATTTTCGAGAGGACAATCAATGTTAGCGTTAGCTGAGCTGGATCCAGCATCTAAGGTCAGCGAATGGAATGGGAGGAAACTAGCTGGACCTTAAATATTTTTCTAAAAAGATCGAAGCATTGAAAAGACGGAACACAAACTAGTGCTGCTGCAACTAAAACCCATCTAGGAACGGCTGATAATAGTCTGAAATTAACGCTCAGGAATATGAAAGAAACATACAACGAAAATGGAAGCATCGTAACAAGGTTTGTTGGGGCAAGCGGAGAGGTCATGTTTTCGGAAATTTCACCACAGTGCTCGTGTACCTAAACTGCTAGCCTGGAAGCCAGATTTTAAGGAATTTTACAATTAACTGGACTACGTTGGAAATAATGTTATGACTTGAATGCAAAGATAAGCGATTATAAGATTGAAGTTTCATAGGCAAGACGTAATGATCTTGCGATAAAATAGTGGATAAAAATGGTCTTAAGCTCAACGAACAAAGCAAAACCATTAAAATGGCAACATTAAAAGGGAAAATGAGTACAAATACAAATGGAAATTTTACTTTCGTAAGAGGACAAGCCTACATAGGTTTTGAAAAATGGCTTAAAAATTAAAAGATCCGAAAAGTTTGTCGAATCAGTACAACTCTGCGAAGTCCAAAATGTCCGACCACCAGAGAGTTTCAAGCGGAACATCATCTTCGCGACGTTACCGCTAGCTACAAAGGTATATCCCTCCTAGACAGGCTCCAAAAAATGTTTGCGCAGAGAATCTTCAAGTACGTTGAAGCGAATACCAAGCGGGTATTGGGAACATTACTCCATAGTAGATAGAATTTTCACACTAACATCCACAATAGCAGTATGCTATGAGCGAAAGAAAATAGTGTATCTATTTATCACTGATTTTAATAATGCTTTTGGAAGTGTCCTGCCATATGCAACAAAACTGAATCGAATCTAGGATTTACATTTAAAATAAGGTTTAAAAGATGGCGTAATAAGAATATTGTCTGTAACCAAAAGTTACCAGCCCACTTATGTAAGAATACTAATTGCAAAAGACATGCATAGCTCCATCCATCTTATGGCCTCACCATCTTTGCTCGTCGTAACCTTTGATGGCAGTTTAATGTTTTCTGTTCGTGATCCAAAATGCAAGCTCTCGTGCTTGCCCTTTTCATATTCTGCGAACCCTTAACAGCTGGCCGAACGCAACATCGCACGGCATAGATAACTTTGATAATATAAGGCGGTAAAAAATAAATTTTGACAAGAAATTAACCGACTAGACTTATACGAGTGTATTTATTTTTCTCAAGAAATTTTATATTTAAAACGAGCAAATCTATTAGTTTGAAAATGTAAGAATCAACGTTTCTAGAAGAGTTAAAAACCTTATTTGCATAACTTTTTTAATAAATTAAATAGCTTTCTAACCACGCAATTCAAATTAACACGAGAAAGGAAGCACACTTCGGCACGTTGAAGTTTATAAACCCTTTCAGCTGTTGCAAAAATTAGATATTCCTTAGAATAACTATATTTTAATGCCATTATGTTTAAAATCAGCGAGGCTGTGATGATTTTTCGCTGAATTATTCGATCGTTTCTATGGCAGCTGTATGATATAGTCGCCCAATTATTATTGTTATACCCTTGCAGAAGAAAGTAGTAAAGGAGCCATTTCCGACCCTACCACGTACATATACACAAATTATAATTTTGCTGATTTTAAATTTAGTTTTAGTTCTTTGATATATAGTAAAAATTTATTATTTCAAAATTACGATTTAAAATTTATTAAAATCGGACGACTATGTCAAATAGATCCAACTGAAACCATCGGAATATTACAAAAATAAATTAAAACAAAAAACAAAGAAAATTTTGCAAGTCGACGTTTATATACCCTTGCAGCTATTGCAAAAAATAAATATTCTTTAAAATATATAAAGTATAAGTATAAATTTAAGTCTAATTATTAGATCTTTCAGCTATACGATATCGTTTTTTGATTTGAATTAATGCTTATATCTGAACTTTTAAAAAATTACTATGTCCAAAAGGAATTTAAAAAAAATTAAAAATTGGAGAAGTTACATTTTTTAATATTCCGATTGTGTTGATGTTAGCTATATGATATAGCCAAATTGAAACCGTAATTCAAAAAATAGTCAATGACTATATCTCGAAGAACTAAAATTAAAACAAAATTAAAAAAATAGAAAAGTTATAATTCTTTTTCCAACCCGGCTCGTTCCAACCCGGCTCGTACTACCTGCAGTAGGAAGATAACTTTTGGGTAAGTTTTATGCAGATAGCTTTGAAACTGAGGTACTAGTTTTCGTAGACACGGACGGACGGAAAAACGGACGGACAGACGGAGGGACAGACGGACATGGCTAAATCGACTCTCCCATTGAAGCTGATCAAGAATCTATATACTTTATAAGGTCTTAAAAGTCTCCTTCACTGCGTTGCAAACTTTCTTCTGAATATAGTATCATCTGCAAGGCTTTTTTTATTGTCTCTTCTCTATTTTTATACCCTTGCAAAGGGTGTAATAATCCAGTCAGAAGTTTTCAACGGAAACGTTTCCGACTTTATAAAGTGTATATATTCTTGATCAGCATCACAAGGAGAGTCAATCTGTCTGTCAGTCTGTCTGTTTCTACGGAAACTAGTCTCCCAGTTTAAAGCTATTTGCACGATTTTTTTCCTAATGCAGCTAGCATATAAGCCGGAATACTATGTCATATAAATCCCAAAGGAACAATAAATAAAAAAATTAAATTAAACTTTTTTGTTTTTTAATTTTTATACATAGTTCTTCGATGCTTAGTAATGGTTAATAAATTTTGAATTACGGTTTAAATAGGACGACTATATCATACACCTCCTATGCAAACAGAAAATTATTTTTTTTTTTTATTTTAGCTTCCCTAGGCTTAGTCCGACCACGCCAACCTATACCGTCAATTTATGTTATATATATATAAGTATATAAAATTTGTTGAATACATATTTTAAAAATATATGTTTTTAAACTTATTTTAAGAAATATATATTCTAGTTTCAAATCAAAGAAAAATTGGAAAAATTGATCCAAATTTTGATTTATATTTCGTGCTTCTAAAAGTTCTTAAACTTTTTGTGGTAAAATTAATTGTTTGTTATTAGCCAGTCGTCTGCTTACGTCAATGTTATGTCAGTTAGGTAACTGTGATATCTATCGATCCACCTTTACGGGAAACTCGCAAGATTTAATTTTTAAGGCAATTTAAAAACCGATATAACATTTTTAAAGTCCAATAAATGAATGCTAAATTAAAGATCAC